GAACAGTACCGTGAGTAGCAGCTGCTCTGGTATTACAATTCCGATATGCAGTTTTTTGGGATTGAATATTTTTAACCATAGAAGAGCTTACTTGAATAAAAAATTCTCGAGTTCAAGACAAACCTAATTTGAATTATCTCAATTTTTGAATGAGAATTTGCAGCCAAGACCGGATAAAATGCACTATAGTCTCTTCTAAATAAGCACGAAGCTACACTGTGCCATGCCTCGAAACTACCTAGTCCGTTGTTGCTCTCACAACCCAATGAGATGTCTGGGTTGCAGTTTCGTGGAAGACACTGTAAGCGTGTACAATGAATCAAAAGTAAAAACCTCTTCCGCAACCGATTTCTATGAGAGGCGAAGGCATTCAGGAATACTCCGAGTGGTAGCATGTGACAACAACAACCACTCGCTGGCAAAGCTGTCGATAACTCCCTCTTTCGAGAATTGCATAGAACCAAGCTAAAGGCGAGCGAAATAAACGTGGAACAAAAATTTGCCAGTGATGTCATTCCCACATTGACAGGTGCCATTACTGCGTATAGAAGCAGAATGTCTCAGGGCGCTCAATCGCGCAATCAGACACAAGTATGGTAACTCACCAACGATACCAGTACCGATACTTACCTATCACACATATGGTGAAATCTCGGGCCTTCGATATATGGTTCGTTTCCTCCTCTGCTGTTGATTACTGTGAAGTAGACCACTGTGATTTTGTTGGCAAATTGAGGATTTTGAGGTAATGGATTTATGCGGTAAAAATATTCGCGAGCTGAAAAAAAGCACGAAAGACGATTGTTTCACAATAACCACATCACTCTGGCTCATGAAAAAGATGATTATGGCATTGCAGTTTTTGCACGATCTGGGATGGATTCATCGGTAATAATAAAAATATGCTTAAAATGCGGTACCTGCGACTACGTTCCAAATCGGTAAGGCGGAAGGGAGGGGGGAAGAAGGTTCTGGATGGAGGGTGTAACCAAAAACAAGATGTGCCGGTCAGCTTGTTTGTACACAACTCTCGAAAGAGGGAGCCATTAATAGCTATATCAGCTGGAAACTGCTTTTGCATGACCTATCACTCACGCTACTTTCAAATACCTCCACTGCTAATGAAAAGTAAAGAATATGTGTTCAACAGAACTCACTGGAGCAATGTTCTAGGGATGTGAAGCCTGCAAATTTTTGCATTGGACTACAAACGCAAGGTACACAGAATCTTTATCTGGTCGATTTCGGCTTAGCGCGTCATTACATGGCTCCGGACGGTCTACCAAAGACAAGGCGTGAGTATAGCGCATTTCACGGAACCATTCGTTATGCATCCCTTACAACACACAGATATCAGGCAAGTATTTGCAAATATTAGGTGAAATATAATTGATAACGGGCTAATAAGTAACTCGTCTAAAAAGCAAAGAAATTGATTATCTATTGTTTCACTGAACAAAGAATGGTGCTGAGACATGACGTAATTTGCGAATTTGTTGAGGTGACAGTTATAATGTTTCTGTCAAAACCTCAGGAGCTCCCATCTAGCTCCATTCTCCTTTGCACTGTTACTAATTTACCAGCTGCTACTTTATCATTGTGTTTCTTCGCGCGGCTGATGCAGCTGGCACCTTTTTAATTCTTCTCTATTTTGGGCTTCTCTCATTCATTAAATTCCATACCGGCGTTCAAGCGCATCCATCCGGCCTTCCCTGAATCTTTTTAGCGGTGCATGGATACCATTCGAAAATCCGTTTTGTCGTAATGTTGCAAATAACAGTGCCGTTTAAAAATTCTTACATTTTTTCACAATGAACCCCATCAAGGGATATTTTTGATTAGACAGTGGGATTACTTGTATTATTTAGTTTCTTGCTTCCAGCGAAACTAATGCAAGTTATACCAGGATACATCGTTAGCAAAGCCTGATTTGAGAAGGTAAGAGTGGGATGTGGTAAGTAAACAGGAAACACGAAAATTCTAGTGTCCAGCAATTAAATTCATGAATTTTTTTCCTGAAGTCAATCACCATCATCTCTATTTGTGATACTGCTATGTGCACGAGTGAGTGACCATCATCATTGCAGGACATGTCACGTTACGATGACCTATGGTCCGTCTATTACATTAGCGTAGAAAATATGGTTGGACAATTGCCCTGGCGATACGTGAACGAGAAAAATGATGTGGCGCAAATGAAAGAAAACATCGATTTGTTACGGCAAAAATACGGCACGGTAAGTGAATTCCCAAATTCCCGTCGACCTGCCAGATTAAAAGTTGGCGCTGCTTACAAAGTCCAAGATTGCTGACTTAGGTGGTAACAAAACGAACTGGAATGCAGACTTTAAACAGCTGCAATTCGTATCCAGGTTTCCCAACCAGTAGGTTTTCACCTAGCTTTGACCAATGCTTCAAATTACCTGATGGTCAGTCTGCTGGCGATCCTAACGCTCTTTTCGTCTCCCGGAAAACTTACTATTTTAACGTTTCAGTTAGCATTGTTTTAGTTACTTCGAATACCCACTACCACATCTTCTGATAGCTGCCCAGATCAAGAAGACAAGTACCTCATTGACTC